CCCTGCCGCTGTCCCGGCGCTCATCCAGCCGCCCCGCCGGGCAGGGATCTGGCCCAGCCGAGGAGAGAGTGTCTCCCACCCTGCACCCCCCCGCCCATCCCTGTCCCCCGGCCACCTCCCATGCAGCCCTTTAACTCGCCTGAGGGTGTGTCACCCAGCTCACCCCCTGAGCCAATGGGAACAGGAACCAGAGGGGAGGGGTGAGAATTAGCAGGGGAGGGGGGTGAATTAAGCATCTGGAGCCCAGAGGAGGAGGCGAGGCCCTCTTGTCGCTCAGCTGATGTCCAGGATTTTTAATCTGGGGGAGGGGAGAGGTGGAGAAGAGGGCAGGGCCTCAAGGAAAGAGGTTAGACAGGGTCTTGAAGGACGAGGCAGGACCCGGAGGCAGAGGCAACGAAGGGGCGGAGCCTTGGGGAAGAGGCGGACCAAGGGGCGGGGCTCAGCCTAGCAGGAAGGAAGATGCTCATCCCAGCGTTCCGTTGAGGGTCCCACTCACATTGCTGCCCTGCGCCTGCGTTCCTTGTAAGCCGGGCATTTGTGCTGGGGAGGTTCCAGTGCCACCTGGCAGATTAGCAGAGCTGGTTTCGACAGGTGGTGCACATCCACACGGGCCTTGGTGCACAGAACAAAATGCATTCCCCACATGGGTGGGAAAGATCGGCGGGGAACACTACCTTGCGTGTCACGTGTATACCGTTCCCCACCCCAATCCCGAGCGTCTCCTTTAAATGAGTCCCCGACAGCCTCCCAGCCTGAGCGGCGCATTTATGCTGTTCCCCCAACAGCATCCCTTGGCGTCACATTTGTGAATAATGAATTGAGTTATGGATTCAGGGGATGTTTCCTGGGAAAGTCCAGGATTTTCGCTGGCACCAACACTGACACATGAGCATGGGAGGCAGAGCCCAGCACTGGGGAAGGAAGGGAGACACGAAGCCCATTAGCATCATGAGTCAGGGGAGGGAGGCTGGAGGTGGGACACAGCACAGGTGAGAAGCTGAAAATATCTGGGGCAGCTAGTTGCTTCCCAATGCAGCTGCAGAAGGATTAAAGCGGGGGTGGGGAGGAAGGGGCGTCTTCCCCGGGTTTCTCGAGGACAAACCTGACCTGATCTGACCTGAGACTAGACCAGGTCGTATCAGAATCCAGGCCAGTGGCCTCCACTGAAGCTACAGACAGAAGTGGGGACAACAGAAATCCTGGCTGTCGCATCCCCACACATCCACTCGCACCAATGGGACAGAACTGGGATTGGAAACAGAGACTGTGCTGAAAGCTATTTCCTGTCTGGGGGAGCGACTGCCACAGTGAACATTAACAATATCCCGTAACTGGTTCCTTAACTCCCGCTCACCCCCAGATCCTGGGATTTCTTGGGGCTTGATCATTTGCTTTTAGAACTGGATTCATGTGTCTATCTCACCGGTTGCTTGCGATTTCCTTTTTAACTTATCAAGGGTCTTTGCGGTTTGGGGTGGCGGGGACCTAAGATCCGTCGCCTCGGATACTTTCCCTTGTAAATGCAGCCTCCTCGAACAGGATCAGTGCAGTCTGGGTGTATCATTTTATTTCCTGCTTTTCATTAGTTGTAATAAAATGCCACATTTCCAGCATTCCCAGAATCCCGAGTCCTCTGTTCTGGAGAAAAACCACCAGTCAAAATGAGCCTTAGGTGAGGTGTGGGGGGGGTTCCCAAAAAGTCAAGATTGTGGATTCCTTGAGGCAGGAAGTGTCTGTCTTGTCTGTGTTTTGTACAGCACCAGCACAGCAGGGTCGTGCTCCACGACTGAGGCTCACAGACACTATGATAATACAAATAATCGATGGTATGAATTTGATTTCAGTTAGAGAAGGAGAAGAGTTGCACATGGAAAAATAAGTTCTTAATTCATTTGAGCTAAGCTTCTATTTTCACTCCTTCTTTTGGAAATTCAGAGTTAGGGTTGTGTTTTCTCCCCCATTTGGAGTTACTGAGATCAGAGTTAATTTTCTCCAGCAGAGGTGAACGTTAGGCGGTTTGCAGTTTCAGCGTGCAATACATGATGCTTGACTCAAGTGATTCTCTGAGCCATGCAGATCTTTCACTATTCAGCTGCTTCTCATTATTCTGTGCAATCGTTTTAAATCTGTAGGGTTTTAATTGGCTGCCCTGGCTTTTCAACATGAAGGAGCAACATAGCTTGATGTTAACTCAGATACTTGCTTCCTACTGAGAATAGGGTACCATCTCCAACACCAGTGTAGGCATATTTTACAATGTATTCATCTCAATACATATGGATTCGTTGGGGGCCATAAAAGATAGATATTGCCAAATTACCTGTGGGGCCGTATTAAACCGGAACACGGGCCGCAATTGGCCCCCGGGCCGGACTTTGGACATGCCTGCCTTAGGGGGTACTCAAGATAAGTCTGGGGGGCACATTAACATCACTGAAATTTGGAGAAAACTGAATTTTTGTTGTAAGTTTTACAGCATTTTATTATTTTTGTACGTTTTACACCCAAAAATTTCATTGCCTGCCCGGCGACGATTAAGTTGTTTAAACAAAAGTGTTTCAGTGGCAGAAAAAAAATGGTGTGTCTGAAAACTGTAGGTACTGGGGTACTTACAATTTTTCTAAAGGGGTATTTTATAAAAAAAGGTTGAGAAACACTGTCCTAGAGTATAGTTGGTAGAATAATTTAGGGGATTAATTTTGGCATAGACGGTAGAATAATTTAGGGGATTAATTTTGGGTCCTTCACTTTGTTTCCTACTAGTGCCCTCTATAAACATGAGGATACTCAGCCTGGGTGGCAAGGGGAGACTGAACCTGGGACATTTGTCTGGGTGGCAAGGGGAAACTGAACTTGCTGGTTTAATTTTGAGGGCGAGGGGGGGGAGAAATTGGTGAGCAGAAAACCTGACCGGAAGGAAAACTACTGAGGTTGGGCTAAAAAACAGCAAAGCGACGAGGAAACAGGACTGGACGCTGCTGTTTACGTGGGGGAGAACATGGAACGTTGGTGGGTGCGGACCTACGTGAAAACTGCTCGGATAAGGTCCGGCGGAGCACAGGCTGATTCGGTGGCGTCCGGCTCTGCGTTATATAAAGTCCCGGTGGGAGGGAGCGTGGGCCGAGTGAGGATGAGCGGGCCAAGCGAAACGAGGCGGAATCTCCTGGCCACGGTGGGGGAGCGGCTGGGGGGG